TAAATGCCCCTTCCCCAACTCTCATATGCATAACACTGAGACTTGAGAGGTGATTGATCCTGGAGGTGAACTTATAGCTGACTTGTTGTTAGGGGGTGGTGTCTGGTCAGAAGAGGCGGGTCACTAAGGCTGCAGCCTGGAAGCATTTATCTCCCTCCCATGATCTCCCTTTGATCTCTCTGCTCCCTGGATGGCATAAGGTGAAGAAGTGGCCGTGCCCGTCTACTGTGCTGTCCTGAGTTTCTGAAGCCAGAAGACTGAACTGAAGCACTTCTAAGTTATGGGTCAAAAGAAACTTTTCCTTCTTCAACCTGTGTATGTCAGGTACTATGTCTCAGTGACAAGAAAGTGATTAAGACAGATTGTACTACAAAAGAAGTGGGGTCATCACTGTGATGCACTTAGCCATGTGGTTCAGAAACCTCTGGAACTTGCTCACAGGAGGAGTTCAGAAAGGCTTGGAGATGCCAGCTAGAGAAGCCACAGGAGGCTGTAAACCAAGCTTGATGGAATATTCTGGTCAGAGGTCAGAAGATTGGAATGCTGATAAAAGCTAGGTGTGGATTATACCTGTAATCCCAGCACTTGGGAAGCTGAGGCAGGATTGCTGTGGGTTCAAATCAGCCTAAATTACATGGTGAGGCCCTGTCTAATATATATATATATATATATATATATATATATATATATATTGCTGATAAAAAGGCAAACAAAAAGATCAGCTGGGGATATAGCTCAGCAACACAATGCCTGCTTGGCAAGTACAAGGTCCTGAGTTCAACTACCAGAATAACAACACAACAATAAGAAAAGATGAGTCTCAGTTGGGAGCAAAGGCTCCACTGGTAGCTGGACTCCATCTTTGTGCTTTGTGTTCTGGCAGAAAATTTGAGGTGAGATAGCTCAGAAGACTAAGAGCCTCCTTAGGCAAGTGCAGGGTCCATGGTTCAATCCCTAGCACCACATGCCCCACTGGCCCCACCCTCCGGCATGCTGAGCCAGCAACTGAGTCTGGGAGTGGTGGTTCATGCCTGCAATCCTAGCTCTGAGGAGGCGAAAAACAGGAGGATCACTACAAATTCGAGCTGTGTAATGAGATGCTGTACAAAATTTTTAAAAAAGAAAAGAAAATTTGTTTGCATTTTGCTTATATCCTAAGACTTTATGGGAGATTGAGATTGAAGACAATAGACTAATTAATCTGGTAGAAGAAAATTTAAGGCAGCCTAACATTCAGACTATCACAAGTGCTGCATTCTGCTTTTAGCTAAGTTTTTGCTGAAAACTGGGGTGTGGGAGTTGAGGGGGAGCCCATTCTTAAAATTTTCAGTTTCACCAGGAAAAAAAAGTGCCTATAGGATAAAGCAGAAAAGAGCTTGATTGTTAAAAAAAAAAAAAAAAAAAAAAAAAAAAAGAGCATGAAAAAGTATTTTACAACTGGACAATAAACAAAAAGACAGCTGAGAGTAACACAGGATCCAGCAGGACTCCACCCTTCACAGGCTAAATCAGAAAAGTGAAAGGCTTTGCTTTGGGAAGAAGTTCCCAGCATAGCCTGTTCAAGAACTAGATCCTAGAGAACTGATTTCCTAGGGATAGGTTCATAGAGTTCAGCCATCCAGGCACTCAAAACTCCTCTGCAACCATGATTAAGACGGGTCTACTTACTTGCTCATGCGGTGGCAGACTTTGGTGACATTCACTAGTTTTACAGGTATGAAGAAAGCAGGATTTGTGGGGAAGCTTCTACTCAGATTTCAGAAGAGGGCCTGGGTGAAGAAGGCAGTGCATGAAGCTGTGTGAGGGATGCTGAAGGTGCAATGGAGACCCCAGGAATTTGGAGAATCCAGGATGAGGAACATGTCAGGAAAGCCACAAAGAGTGAGCAAAACCTGCCCAAGAGAGAAATTCTGATGGCTAATAGCACCAGCAATACCATAGGGGTAGAACTGCCTACGTTCTTTGGAGTTGTATTTCACCACAACTTGTCCTGGATTCTAGACACTGAGAAACAGGACTTAATGTTTGTTCAGCTAGATTTCAATCTTGCATTGGTTCCACTGGTTTCTGTTGTTGCATTCCTCTCTTTTGGAATGGCAGAGCTTATCCATTGTATGTCAGCAGTGTTTAACTTTCTTTTTTATTTTTATGGGGCTCACAGCACATTAGATCTCAGAGAACACTTTGAATGTGGACTTTTCAGTAAAGCCAGAACTGTAAGGACGTCGGCAACTCTTAGAGATGGATTAAATTCCTTTTGTGTAAAGAGATGTACATGAATCTTTGAGGGCCAGGAATGGACTATTACAGTTTATATCTAGATGCTTCCCAAAAGCCTCATGTGTTCAGAGGTGGCTTTTGGAAGGTGATTGGGATTATGGGTCTTATAGCTGACTTCCTGGATGCCAGGGGGTGAAGTTTCTACTCTGCAATGCCCCTCCGCCATGCTGTCCTGCCTTGGAGCGAGAGGACTATGGATCTGCTGGGCTGTTATATAGGCCTAAAAGGATAGCACACATGGGAAATAGCTTAGCTGGGAACAAAAGTCCCTGAGACTGAGTCCAGATCTGAAGCAGATATGCCCCAAGCTTTTCATTTCCATAAGCCAACTGACTTTATTTGTTTAAGCTAGTGTGAATAGGGTTGTCAGACACCTATGGCAGAAATCACCCAGACTGACCTAAGTGGGGAAGAGGGAGGTGAAGATCTAAAGGTAGAGACTAGAATTACAGCTCTTTCTCATTTAATGACCCACCTGGTAATGACTAAGGGAACTTACCACCAGATGCTCAACTTTACAACCCAGAATTCTTCTTAAAAACTATGCTGAGAACCCCTACTACTACTTCTTCTATTTCCAATGCATCATCTTCCTTACGTGGGCCTTCTATATCTCCTGATCGTAAGTCCAGTGATGACACTAACAAGGACTTTGAAGGATTTGATGACTAAAATATTGGCTTGAACGTGGGTTTTTTTTGTATAGTCCTGTACACATTGTTTATAGGGCCTCAATGTCTTTTTGTATAGTATACCTTGTTTATACAGTATTATAGTTTTGCTCATTATGTTATACAGTATAATGCTGTAGTTTTATGTTCTGTTATACTTTACTGTACTGCATGTAAGTTATGTGAATAAAAGTAAAGTCATAAAGTTGCAGCTTCTTTTGACCATCTCTTAATCTGAATATTGTCATGTACATACTATATACAATTCCTCGCTTATCGATGAAGACAGTTGATGACCTAGTTGCACAAACGGAAACCTAGTTGTTCAAGGGCAGCACTTGAACAGCACTTGAGAGCCGTAGAGGTTTAGGGTGATGCTTAAGGGAACAGTTAGCAGGTTCTGTGCTCACTGAGAAGGGCTGTCAGTATTCAGGGCAACAGGAAGCACTGTATCTGGAAAATACTAGGTGAGAGGCGAGTTATCAGAGTTCACTGGCCACCAAGGGTTCAGATGTGGAAGGCAACCTAGGTGGCTGGTGGAGTGGCGAGGCCTCGGAGCAAAACGAAGAGCAGAGCTGGGAAGGGGTAAATACGGAAGGGACTGCTGATTTAGAAGTTGAAGAAGTTCTATGAGGAAAACTGGGAGTTGATGGAAATATGAGTAAACTGTGTAGGTCAAGTGTGTGAACCTGGGTGCCATTAACAAAGGAGTGAAAGAGGACAAAGGATGGGCTTCTCCCAAAACTGTGTTTCCCAACAATGATCACAAGTTTTCTCTCATGTGTGGAAGCTAGTGAGGATAATAAGACAACATGAAAACAGAGGTGCAAAAGATTACTAAAAGATTGCTAGTAAAAAAAGATTACTAAAGAAAGGAATCAGGAAAAGAAGAGGCTGTGGGGATAAGGGGAAACATGGAAATGATCAAAGTATGTTATGTTATATGCATGCAGGAAATGTCACAAGAACGCCGTTTTCTGTATAATTAATATGCACAAATAAAAAGATAAACCGTAGAAAATAATGTCTCCATTGCCCAGGGCCAGCCGTGCTAGGTACATAAGAGTCATTGTGGACATTGAACCGATCGCACAGGCCTTCTGGATGATCATTATTGGGCAGATCATCTCTCACAGAACGCTTGTTGGAACCCCCACTAGTGGGAACCCAACATTTTTCAAGAAAATTATCCACAAATACGGAATCAAATCAAATAAAACCGCGCACCAATACAGTGTCTAAAGTGGGTGCGGGTACAGAAATCGGCCAATGCTTCTACATCTTCAGTAGCTGGCTCCTCAGGCCCAGAAGGGAGGACAGTGAGGGGATTGCGCGGGCGGCGACTTCTCCCAGTGCTCGGCTGGCGCAGCTGCGAGCCAAAGCGAGGTTTGGAGTCACACAGGCCGGATGTGGTGCACGCCGGAAGAGAAGCGTGGGGTGGCCTGGGGCGGGGTGGCGCGGATCAGGGCAGTTTGGGTCCCCACGACACCCGGTGGACTCTAAACACAAGCGCCCACCCCGACAATGGAGTCACCAGACACGCAGCCCGAAAGCACCCACACCAGATCGGGGTCGGGCCGCGTCTGTGCGCCCCGGCCTTGGCGCGTGTCCACGCATTCCCTGATCCCAAGCCCGGCTTTGTGAGACAAATGCGCAGGGCCCTGCAAGTCGGCCGCGCAGCCCCAGGGCGCTCTGAGCGCGTGCCTCCTCTGCCGGGAGCTCCGACCCCCGCCCGCGTCCCGGATGCGCCTGGCCTCTCCGGGATCCTCGGCTCCCAGTCCCAGCGCGCGCCCTGCCCTCCAGCCCGCACCGCTCCGCGGTCCCGGGGCGGAGCTCCGGGCGATCCGCGCGCTGCAGGCAGTTCCCCGCGCTGGCCGAGGTCGGCAGGGGGCGCTGCGGCTCCCCGCGCGGCCCGGCGGCCGGTGCGCACCGCCCTCGCCTCTCCTCCAGCCGGGACGAGCGGCCAGCGGGCGGCGAGCAGGGCGCGCGGCGGCGGAACCTGGGCCGGGACTAGGAGCGGTGAGTACGGCGCTCGCCCAGCGCGCGGAGGCTGGAGGCGGGCGGCCGTCCAGGGTCCCGTGTTGGGAGACAGCTGAGCCCCAGCTGCGCGGGTGGTAGAGCGGTAGGGAGGCTTCCACTCCGGTTCTGAACCCGGCCACTAAGCTCCCTCCCTGTCCCTGCGCCCACCCAGCCCCACGCTCGCGCCCCTATCCAGGCCACTCCCCCACGCCCCTTCTCCGAGCCGGCGCCGTCTGACCCGCCGGCAAATCCCCTTTGCTGTCCACACGCCTCAACCCGCCTACTCCCGCGGGAGTCTCGCCTTCTCTAACCGCGCCGGCCCACCCGGCCTCCTCTCGGTGCCACTACGCACCCCAACCCGGTCCCATTCAGCCCCCGCGCTCTGCCGCCCGATTCCACCTGGAATCCGAGCTCCTGGGGATCCCTTCCTGGGGAGCCCCAAACCGCTTGCTTCCAGGTAAGAAAGCAGCCGCAACTTCCCCGCGGCCTTTCCGTGGGGTGGGGCCGGCGCCCGGTGCAGCTTACCTGCGGCTCCGCGCAGGTCAGCCTTCCGGAGCGCTCAGGGTAGAACCTCGTGCTCCCTCCCCCCCCTCCCCCCGCCCTGTTGCTTTTGCTGGCGCAGTTGTTCTTGTCTCGATATTTAAAAGAAGCAGTCTGTCAAACGCGGGGGCGGGCGTGGGGGGGGGATGAATTGGCTTGAGCAGGTTGCTTTTCTTGGCGGCTGTATCTGTTTTCAGGTTGTACCTGTGCATGGTAAAGATTAGCGGTGCGGGAGGACGTGAAGACATATTTGCCCGCTTTAGTCTTTGGGTTGCAAAGGGACATCATGGGAAACGAGACTGTCCCCATCTGGGTGCCCAGTGTCTGTGAAAAGTCAAGGATGCTTTCTAAGCATTCAACAAGTACAATCAAGAGGGACATGGGGTGTGAATGCCGAGTGTGGGATGGATGGTGCAGGGGGATTCTGGAGGGTTCCACAGCTTGGGATTTGGGACATCTGTTGCTATTTGTAGCAGGCCTGAGATGTTCCCCCAGTTGGAGCAGGCAGTGTCGGGCCCAGCCCACCCTTTCAAACGGAAGTGGCTGTAGTAGGGATTTGGCATCAGCTCCTCCTCCCCAAAGGTATTGGTGCCGGACAGGCGTCTATGGGAAGAGGGTGTAGAGCAGATGGCTTGGAGAGGCTGCTGGTCCCTAGAGAGTGGCAGGAACACTTGGCAGCAGCCTGGAAGCTAGGACGCTAGTGTGTGCATCCACCCCACCCCTTCTCGAGGCTTTCCTTAAATCTTGAATTGAATTCATTGCGTACTTGAGAAAGGGCTGGAGGGGGTACTTCTCTTTCAGGTTTGGCTCTTAGTCAGCGCACCATCATGGATGCCCTGAGAAGCTGTGGCTGGATACCAGGGACAGGTTGAGCCACCTGGCTTCCAGGGCACAGCACTCTGAGCATTTGTGGAACTGCCCTGTGACTTTTTCTTCTTTTTTGGGTGGTGGGTACTGGGGATTGAACTCAGCACCCTGTGCTTGCCAGGCAGGCACTTAAGCCACTCTGCTCTCTCCCCAGCTGTGACTCTTTTATCTGTCAATCTGTTGCACTCCTAATTAGCTCAAAAGTAATTAGCCTCGGACAAGCACCCAATGGGATCCCTCTGAGTGTCTACAAGTTCCCTTGGGCATCGCCTTGCTCCACACTGTGTTGCACTGTTGACTGTCAGTTCCCACTGGCCAAGAGCAGCTGCAAGGATGCGGTGGAGCCATCTCCCCAGGGCCCTTCCTAGCACCTCCCGCCTAATATTGTACCCAGTGGTATTGGAATAAGAAAATGAATTTTCCCTCTTGAATCAGTCTGTCTACAACGTATTTTTTTCCATGTTGTACATTTTTCAAAGCGTTACCCTTAAATTCAACAGATTTAAATGTATAAAATCTCACTAGAGGGGCTGGTGAGATGGCTCAGTGGTCTAAAGCACCTACTTGGAACAAGCTAAGCTAAGCAAAGCACAGGGACCGCAGTTCAATCCCCCAGCACCACATGCCAGCCAGCCCCCGCCCCCTGGTGGGCTGAGCTGGCCACACACACACTAAATAAATAAATAAATAAATATTAAAAAAAAAGTTTAAAAAAATAAAATAAATAAATCTCACTAGAGGCAAACTTGTGGGTAAGGGATCAGTATACAAGTCAGGCTCTAGTAGCCAGATCTATAACCTCAGCAAGGAGTCCAGAACTTTCTAGAAGGAAGTCAGTTATTCTTATCCCATAAGCAGGAACCAGAGGGTGTTGGGCACCTGAAGGGGTACTAAGGCTGCCTGCTAAGAGTTGAACCCACCAGAACTTAACCTGTAGAGCCCTGAGCTGCGACCTGAGCCTTCTTCTACACCTTATCCCTGCCCACTGATGGGAAGATGCTTACAGGGACGGAGAGGATGAGGTCAGTTGCAGAGCCCCACTGGTGTCTTAAAGTTGCACTGTGTCATTCCAGAGGGTCCTGTCTACCCCAAGCTTCCTATGGAGAGCAGAGGAGGGCCCTTCTCACACATGGCTGGTGGTGTGGCTCCTAGCTCTAGCTGGGAGTGGGGGTGGGGGAAATCTGTTATTTGGGGACATGCCTTCGTGTGTCAGAGGTGGCCAAGCTGTAATGGCAGAAGAGACAAAATCCAACTCTTCTGTGTATATGAAAGGAGGGAGCACAGCTGAAAGCGGGGGTTAGGGTATCTGTATGCCCTTCTATAGGAATGTGGGCGAGGCTAGAACCCAGAATGGATGTGGGAACCTGCGCTGCCCCTGGCTGTCATAGGCTTATCTTTATTACCCAGATTGTCTGTCTTCAGGTCTGGCTGTAACCCAGAATTCCTGCAGCTGGCAAAAATTTGTTTTCTAGAAGAAGTTTAATTAATGCCTGCAGTTTGTGAGTGAGAGAGAAAAGGAGAACGATACTACTATCTGGAGGGGGAAGGGGAAAGGATGGGGAAATATTTGAGGTGTTAGGAAGGGAGATTTCAGGCCCAGAACCTGCATAAGTACAGGGCTCTTGGCTGGTGGGTAAGGAAGTATGCCCACACTCTGGTGTGTGTAAGGCCATTACCATTAAGAATGAAGTCATTGAGATAAGAGAAACAGCCCCACAGTGGCCTGAAATAAAGTTTGCTGAGGCCACCATTCTGGTATTTAGAAGGCCAGAAAAGCCAGTTAAGAGTTGGGCTTAGCAGAGTTGGAGAGCACTGAGCTGTTTCCCTGTGGGAACAGTGGCTTGAGCCAGGTTGGTCTAGGGTATGAGCTCGAGGAGCCACCTCACGCCTACCCAAAGGAGAAGCAGATCAGAGGGTCTGTACACCTGCGTGCAGTAGACAAAGAAGAAGGAACGGCCTCTTAGAAGGTAGAGGGCCACTTCTTGGACCTGCTAGGAAGCCTCACAGGTAGAATACAGCCCAGTGAACCCCTCAACCTGGAACTACTGCAGGCAGCCGTGAGGAGGAGCCTGTGAACCCAGAATAAACTACAGAGTCTACTCTGTGTCCAAAAGTGGGAAGGCCATGGTCACCTAACTGAACCACAGACCCCTGCTGTCTTCTTTATCCTGTAACCTGCAGGCTCCTCTGACCCTTCTTGGACTTTGGTTGGAGAATCCACTAGATTTGGTAAAAAGGTCAATCTCCACTAAGGGTTAGACCAATCCCAAGAGCAGGAAGAAGTTAATGATTGAAAGGCATTGAAAAAGAATTGGCCCTGCCTTGTGGAGTAGTTCCTGCATACTGGAGGTACTCCTATTAGGGATTCTCAGCTGGGCAACCTCCCATGCATACACCTAACCCTCCACCTCTTCCTCTATGTCCCCATCAGTGCATCAATGGGGCAACAGCAGTACTGGGAAGTCTGTGCAGGAGGAGAGCTTGGGACCCTCAAACTTCTAGTAATAGAGACTGTTGGAATTTTTAAATTCTCTTTGTATTTCTATAGTCATTTCCCCAGTGTATGTATTCATGGTGCTGCTGCACGTGGGGCATCTTTTTGTCTTCTGTTTGCCACCCGCTGTGACTCTTTGTATGACCAGCTTCCTTAGGGAGAATGATAATCAGTAGCATAGAAACCAAAGCTTTAAAAGACACTAAAGCAAAAGTTCTTGTATCTGGTTTTGACCTCCACACCCACTCCTCCTTCCTCTCCATTTCTGATTGTGGAGAGGGCCATCATTTATAGCACATTTACAAATAGTTTGAATGCAGTTTGTCCTACCCCTCAATTATTTAGAGACACAAATCTTTCCAGCCAACAAAACCCCTTCTTGTGTTCCTGAGCCTGCCTCCATTCTTGGATCCAATGTCAACCCTTTGGAGATACAATCTCATTCTGAACACTGTAACTATAAAAGAAAATGAAACTCTTGCTTGCTAACTTGTCATCCACAAATACAGGAGAATCTGAAGTTAGAATAAAACTGTCTTGCAGGCATTGGGTTACAGAAAAAAGTTATTAAGGTTATAGCAGAAATATTTAGAAGCTCAGGAATAGTCCACTATTACACTTTAAATATCATTACTAAAACATGGAGCGATAGAAACCCAAACTTTCTTAAAAGTATAGATGAGAAGAGCACACAAACTTTGACAAATTGGTACATATGGCACCTCAGAAATATACTAGTTGTTCTGATCTTACGTTGTCCTTCTACAGTACCTTAACATTTAAATAGGCAACGATGTCCATGGTCTTGTTGGATCCTCTTACCAAGTCTGGGATCTACCTAGAATTGGAGAAATGGAACTTTGGGGGGTTAAAGTCTTTCCCTAGAATTTACATCTCTTGAGCTGAGAATTACCGAGAATAAAGTTGAATATTCCTCTTGTAGTTATATCATAAACAGATGTGGTTACATAACTGTTTGAAAATTACAAGTGGTCTCCAGTGAAGGGTAAACATAGATATCAGTTATCTTTAGAATATTCTGTAGGTCAAACACATGAAAGCAGTGCATGCGTGTGTGTGTGTGTGCGTGTGTGCGTGCATGCGTGTGTGTGTGTGTGTGTGTGTGTTATGGCCAAGAAGCCCTGTAGAAGGCTTCCTTGGGGTTTGTGGGTGTCAGCGGTTCTCTTGGTGACTCCTTTTTTACTTTTTTTTTTAATTTTAGGGAAGAGTCTACAGGATGTTCAGAGTCTCACTACTAGATCAGACTCGTAGTGATCCACCTGCTTACAGCCTCCCAAGAGCTGGGATTACAGGTGCGTGCCACCATGCCCAGTCTCAATTGCTGTCTCAGCACGCCCCAGGGGCAGGGTGGGTACAGCACTGCCCAGGGATTGAATCCTGCTTGCAGGCACTTTAATCTACTGAGCTATTTGGCCAGTTCTCTTGGTGACTCCTTAATCCTAGAGTACCTAAGTTTGTTTGTAAATTTAGCCCAGTACAGAGGTTAGGAGTGAAGATCAGCATGTCCAACCTGTGGCCCACGAGTTGGGTAGAAG